CAAACGCTCAGCTAAGCCCCTCCTAACACAACTAAGTTTTTTCGTGATCTTTCATTTTCGCTTCTCGATAGTGGAGTTTTCCTCCCTTTTAACAAAAGAAATGAACTAAAATTGAATTAAAATTATACGTGGAACCGTAAAAAAATAAATTTGAGCCTAAGCAAATTTTAGATTTTTCCTGTAAAAAAAAAGAAAAAAACCATAGCGACCTATCTGAGGGTCTTAACTACGTTCATCGACTCTTAGAAAAAACTGACATGGTCTCGGATTCGAACGTTTGGTCCTTCGCAACATCAAACCGCTCTTTACCGCCACCCGACTGGACCCACTTTTTCATGAAAATTCACTTCTTGACCTTAATGGACCCATATTTTCATCATAGCAAGCTATCAAATGATTCAAGTCTCAAGTGATTATGTTAAACTAGTTGTTAACCCGAAAAACGTCTCTGTTCCATTTTGATAACGTTTGCTAATCGCAAGAGTAATGAGTAAATCGAAAATTTTTGTATTTTCGATAACAATTGCTTGCACAACAAAAAAAATCACCAACAACTTTCCCATTTTTTTGAAAAGCAATATTTTTGACTTGACAAAAGGTCGTGAATAGTCAGCACTTAATGTCAAATGTGCCGAAAAGGAATTTAAATTAATTACACAGACAAGATAGCTTCGCAACACGTGTAGTACAATAAAAAATAGTTTACAAAATATTGTGAAGAAAAACAAGGAAGCCTTTTTTCAAAAAAAAAAAACTTGAGCTGAAAAAATGACGTAAAAAAGTGAAAAATTTTATCTAAAAAAATTCAAACCTTTGTCTCCAACTATGACCATAAAGGGCCCTAATAAGCAATGAGAATCATTGACCGATCCGCAACTACGGCAAAAAAATCTAACTACACCCTAGTTAGGCCGAAAACGAAACTGTAATCATAAAAAGTTTTCAAGCTATAAAATTTTTATGACCCATCGGGTGGTAAAAATTTTATAGCTTGAAAATACGAACTTAAATTGGTACGACCGATCCTCCTGTATCGTAATCAATTTATGCTGCGCAGTTTTAAGGGTGAGTTGTTTTTTTAATGCAAAAACTAGAAACAGCTCGCCATTACATTTGCGCAACATAAATTGACTAACGATACAATTAAGATTTGCATTACAGGGTATTGAATAAAAAATTAAGCTGAAAAAATTCGGAATAACTCTTTTTTCAAAAATTTCATGCCTTTGTCTCGGACTATGTCCATAAACAACCTTAACAAGCATTGAGAGTCAATGAACGAGCGTCAACTAAGACGCAAAAGTTGGTTCGACCCTTCTTAAGCCGAAACCAAAAGACACAATATATCAAGGCCATAAAATTTTTCAAAGTAAAATTTTAACGACCCATCCCTGCTGAAAGAGGCAATAATATTATGAACAATTCCTCCTTGAAACTGCGCAACATAAAAAAACTATTTTAAAAAACGTTTAAATTTAATAAAAATCAGAGTTGATAAATGTATAGCTAGAGCAACTTTTAATTGCAGTAAAAACAATTTGAATCAAAAATTATAAAGCCCCAGCTTTGAAAACGAACGCTCAAAAAATTACGAGATAAAACAAACTGCATTTGAAAAAGATGGAAAATCGCTTGTCAGATATTAGGACGAAAACCAGAAACTTGAATAAAATTAACATTTTTTTCAATAATTATATTCGAAAAAATTCATTACCATTCCATGTGATAAAAAAAGATTTTTTTTTTGCATTTTCTTGAAATAGAGAGTCACCATTCGAGCATGTCAGATATTTTGTTCAGAAAAAACTCTAGTTCCCAATTACAAAATACTAGCTCTTGCAAGTGAAATAAATCAAGCTATCAAGTGATTTCGTTAACCAGTTGTTAATCCTTAAAAATTGTCGACTTGATAACGCTTGTTATTTGCACGTGGAATGGCTTCAAAAATCTTTCACTACGACATTGGCACTGCGTGAGACTTCAGTGATTAACAAATTTCCATGAAACTACCTCAATTCCATTAAATTAGATCGAATTTAATAAAACGATTAATTTAAATCTGAAATTTAAATTGTTTTTTAAATTAGCGATTTGGTGCGTCAGAAGCACTTTTGTTTTTGGAGAGAGTAAATTGATTTCCATTTACCAAATGAAAATGAAGTGAGCTGCAATAAAAAACCAAACCACGAACAACTAATTTTGAGAGTGCGCAAACTTTAGAATTTTACCAAAAGCAATTGTCTCCAGTTTGCTCAATTAATTTCAAAAATTACACATTTTCAATTGAAATTTCGCCTTGTTTTTAATTTTTCTCCAAAAAAAATAGCCATTTGCTGCTTAAGAGGCAGACACATTTTTCATGTTTGCAAAACCTTAACAAATAAAGCTCTTCATCATAGCAAGCTATCAAATGATTCAAGTCTCAAGTGATTATGTTAAACTAGTTGTTAACCCGAAAAACGTCTCTGTTCCATTTTGATAACGTTTGCTAATCGCAAGAGTAATGAGTAAATCGAAAATTTTTGTATTTTCGATAACAATTGCTTGCACAACAAAAAAAATCACCAACAACTTTCCCATTTTTTTGAAAAGCAATATTTTTGACTTGACAAAAGGTCGTGAATAGTCAGCACTTAATGTCAAATGTGCCGAAAAGGAATTTAAATTAATTACACAGACAAGATAGCTTCGCAACACGTGTAGTACAATAAAAAATAGTTTACAAAATATTGTGAAGAAAAACAAGGAAGCCTTTTTTCAAAAAAAAAAACTTGAGCTGAAAAAATGACGTAAAAAAGTGAAAAATTTTATCTAAAAAAATTCAAACCTTTGTCTCCAACTATGACCATAAAGGGCCCTAATAAGCAATGAGAATCACTGACCGATCCGCAACTACGGCAAAAAATCTAACTACACCCTGGAACGAACTGAGTAAAATAAAACAAAATTTTTCTAAAATAGAAACCTACGAGAACTGGATGAACGCAACTCAAGTAATATAATTGTTTTTTTTTCAGCACAATTAGCACAACTCTCAGGCCTTGTTTCAAGCGCGTAATCCTATTGTAGTACCTAATGTAAACATTCACGCCTCTTAGCTTCGAAGCAGTCTAGTGGTTAAGGTGTCCGCCTCACAGTCTATCGGTCGGTTGTTCGTGGCCCAGTCACGTCGACGTATATGTCTTTGCATATCTTCGGAATTCGGCAATTACTGTGCACGTCGAAAGTGTGAGCATTGCTTTCATAATGCAAAAATCGCAAGTGGGGGGGGAACTCTAAAAAGAGCCATACTTTCTTATTTATTTAGTTTTGTTTACCTCGCAGTGGTCCTTCATGCCTACATCCACCTGGTCTCTGATGACATCTTTCATCAGCACCCACGAGGACGTGAACTCAAGTCTAGAGTAGAGCTGCAGTCTGAACCTCTGTCTGCTACTCCTCGTCAAACAGTACTTGGTGTCATCAAGTGTCATTTTATTGCCTGCCAAAATAATTATTAAATAAAATTATCATGGCGCTCAAGAAGTATTAAAGAGGATATCGAACAACTTTACCAATATAAGAAACTAGAAAAATGATAAGTAAATAGTTATTGTTCCGACTTTCGATACGAAAGTAACGGAATATTTGTGCTCGGGTGGGGTTTTTTTTCTTCAGACAAATTTCGACTTTTTAACTAGCCATTTTTGACGGAATTTTTAAATATCATTCGAAAGGTATTGTTGTCCTGGGCTCAAATTTGAAAAGATATTTTGAAAAGATTGCCATTTTGGCCAATTTGGGACAATTAACGCGCGATATATTTCGCGCTATTGACGCGTAAGCGGAGAGTTAATCCGTCTTAGAAATCGTTCCAAATTGGTTAAAAGAAGCTTACTTGCCATAAATGGTTTGTTACAAGGAGCGAAATCTATCCTTTTGTTTTTTATATGGCGTGTGGGGGGATGATTTTCATAAAAAATTTCAAATTTTCGAAGAAAAAATTTTCATTTTGTTTTATTTCATTGAATTTTTTAATGTTATTGCTGCTCCATAAACCTTAAAAGGCAGTCGGAACATTCAGGGCTTCGCCCTGATACGAGCAGTCTTGTTTCTTATGTATAAATTAACTAAGTTTTCTGAAAAAGATACTTACTGGTTTGATTTTGAGGATTCGCAGATGTCAATTAGCGTTCTCAAAATAAACACTTAAAATTAGAAGACAATAATAGCTAAAAAAACCGCTGAGTTGCAGGTGACACCCGATCAAAATTTTGGTTCAACTCAAGTATTTGGCAAAAAAAATGCGTGCAGCCTCTGCGAGTGCTTCTTTTCTTGTGTAAGCAAGGTGGTATTTGTTTGCAATTTGTAAGCTAAACCAGCAGAATTTAACTTGACAAACACTAGCATAAACACATCGAAAGTTTACAGTTATTCATATAATGGTTAGAAGCTTCCATATAATGCAGCTTTTACCAGTAGTTACATGTATTAGAAGGTCTCAAACAAGGGCGAGAAAACTACAATTAGCTCTAAAAAGTGAAATTATCAAACTTTAGAGAAGCCTGGAATAAGTGAAAATTTTGCAGTGACGGGTTTGGAGTCTCACGTTCTCGCATCTGAGCCATTGAAAATTTTTTCAAATTAGCTACCAATGATGCAGCTTTAAATGCAAATAAATTGTCAGTGCTATCCAGCAAAAATACCACCAAACTTAAATGAAACTTTGTTAAGTGCTGCGTTGAACCTTGTCATAAGTATCCAAGGAACCTCACGTCCTTCCCTCTGAGCCACGGAGGCTTGACTAAAATTCCCACCAAATGAGTAAATTTTACTTGCGACTCAATGTGAAACAAGTTGAATCGTACTATCACTCTACGCAAAATTCTTACCATATTTGATTCAATGGTCAAAAAATGTGTTAAACTTCACATTGTTCATGGTACATAAAAATACGCTCCGCTCCTATGACATTTTTTCGAAAGTTGGAGCAAAAAAAGGTTTCAAGGTTTCTTAGAAGATTGTTCAAAATCAAACCGTTAATATTACAAGATGAAATGAACTCAAACTTTTAGCTAAAAATAGGACTCAATATTAAACTACACATTTGAGATACAATGACCAGTAATTGTAGTAACACAGTCAAACAATTGATTGGAATAGTTGGATTAAACTAGCACCAAATTTGTAACTATTTTGCTCAATTAAATAAAACACAATCTATTGACAGAAGACAATGCAAATTTACCCCAGATCTAATTATAATTATACCAATGAATGGATTTGGTTGATTTGATATTTTTTACAGCAACTATTTGTAAATTTTTGTAAAGTTCACAATTCGTCGTCCAGTTTTTGCGGAAACTTTTTTGAGGCAAACATTTCAGTTTTATCACTCTTCAGCGCAGATGTTTCCTTGGTTAAAGGCTCCCCAAAACTATTTAATTTATGCTTCGCTTGTAATTCTGGTTGACTGCCAGTATTTTCTTCCTTTAATTCTGATGTTTGAGCGTGTTCGTTCACATTTTTTGCAAATTCGTTCACAACTGAACTTTGCTGGACCATATGGGAAGACATTAACATAGACATGCTGTTCGTATTGTTCGTCATCACCTCCAAAACTGCTAAACTATTCTTCATAATTTGTTGGAACTGATTTTGCTGTTGAACCTGCGAGTTCACTATCAAGGCTAAAAGCTGTTGATGCGTGAACTTTTCCTGTTCTTTGCTTTGCTTTGATTGCTCTTTTTGCTGCAGGTGTTCTTGCGAACTTTCGTCCAAACTGGACTCCCTGTGATTGATACTGCTTGATGAAAACTGATTATTAGTTGATGATCTGTCATCAAAATACGTTGATTTTGTTCCACGGAACGAACCCTGAAATTCAAATTGAAAATGAAAAGAACTCAGATCATTAAAACATACATCAAAATAATCTCCTTTTAACATAACCGCCTTGTGAAAATGCGTCTCGTTAAAATATTGAACCAAATTGGTTATCTCTGTTATGATTATACAGTTCCACAAATCAGTAAACAATTGAATTTGTTGAAATTTTTAATGGACTCAAATCAGGTCATTAATTTCACCATTTTATAACGTGACAAAACCAATTGCTGATACTTTAAAAATCCAAACAATCTGATTCTGGGAATTTCCGAGCTGGTGTAAAGCTTTCAACTGTCTAAAAAAAGTAAAACCAGTTAAGCCCTCGCTGTTGGGTCGTCTGCCAAAGATCAAACCAACCTTTCAACATTAAAGCCTAGTTTTTACGAGCTTATTGAAGACAAAAAAGTGCAGAGACCCAAGTCAAAGCTTAAATGGACCAAAAATGAGCGAATTCTATGAAGCAGCCAAAATTAAGACAGCAGTGCTTAAACTTAGCTGTTACTTTAAGTTTGTCACCCAGCTTTTGACTGGTCTATATGGAGCTGGTAAATGATTCGACTGCTATATATGCCACCAGATAAAAGAATCGGCAATCATCAAACCAACAAAAAGGATCATAGTCGCCTGGAAACGGATCTGCAGGTCCCATGAAAATAAAAGTATATTCACATTTCTGTTAAAGCGAACTTCTTGGGTTTTATGGGAACACGACAAAAAGCAGCTCTATAAAATGCCATAATAAAAAAATTACAAATAATCCTCGAATTAGAAAAACTTTGGCTACTTCTAGGATTTGAACCCACGACCTACTGCGATCCAGAGATTATGAACATCACGCACCAATCATGGACGCTTACTTGATAACAAACACAAGCCAGAAATAAAGCAGAGAACAGATGCTATGCATTTTACAATGTTACAGTGAAATTTCCAAACTATTGAACACTTTTAATGAACACTTTTATTTGCGAGTTACGTTAGAAAAAAGAAGGTTCGTAATAATACGCTAAGCTGATCGCAAGTGTACACAAAGAAAATGAACTGAACTTAAAAACCAATCAAAAGTCAAACCACGAAAAAGTATTTTTGAGCCTGAACAAATTTTTTCCTGAGCAAAGTTTTTCTTAAAAACCTTTATTTCTCGAGTAGTTTTATAGTTATAACAAGTGTTAGCTCTTTTCGATTTTCCCCATTTGAATTTCATTTTAAGAAACTAAATTTTACGTTGTCATAATGTAATGAAATTTTGCATGGTGACTAACTATTGTGAACACATTTATACCTTCCTTCGTAACATCACGCATTCAGCCATAATAACACGTAAGATAATTGTAAAAAATGGAAACTTTGAAATTTGGGACGAAAATGGAAAAAAGCCCAAGTGTAAATTTGCATGATATTGCTACGGCTTGTGTTTAGTCGAAGCATGTCTAAGTCGGATTTTTTTCCAAACCCCCCCCCCGCATTGAATTTCAGTTTTGAAAAACTAATTTTACTTGGTCATAATGTGAAGAAATTTTGCACGGTGAACAAATCAGCTATTGTGAACACATTTTAATTCAGACTCTACTTCGTAACATCACACATTGAACTATAATATTACGTTAAACAATTATGCAAATAGAAAATTTTAAATGTAAGGGTGGGAGTGGGTGGAAAAGAGCCCGATTAGTTAACGCTTGCGAATCGCAAGCGTCAATATATATATATAAAGTTACGCACTCACCTGTGATGATATGTTTGAGAGCTGATAAATGAGCATAGAATGAGAAATTGAGGCCAAAACGAGCAGCAGAATCACCATCCATTGCACCGACCTCGAACCCCACACGACCTCACCACCCGAAGAAAGACGAGAGAGACGAGATGTCCCTCCTCGGTGGCGTGTTCGAGTCGTTCCTCCGCCTCGGTTCAACTCAGACGAGCTTGAACCGAGACGGTGTTCGTGTTCGTTCAGTCGACTACCCAACACATCTGGCAAGGCTTCATGAATGGACCCGCATCTCTCCTAGTAATAAATAAATATATTCAAAAGCTAGTAAAAAAATAAGAAGATTCTTTAAAAAAAAGTTTTAAGAACCATTCATGGGGAGCGGACGTGAAGTGGTTACGTCTCCGCCTCTCAATCGAAAAATCAGATTTTCGAGGCCCATCATGATCAGCGCTCGTTGCTTGACGGCGAGGCAACTTTACTCAGCCAAGAAAAACAGTTTAAAAAATTGCTTGCAGATCTTGACCAGGTGTACAAAATCGGTTCTCTAAATGAGCTGAACAGCTCGTATGTTGGTCCTTTCATCTTAGGATAAATCGTCCTAATTTTAACAAAATCATACCAAGATACAGCTTTTGAACTGCGAAAACCTTACTGTATCGTTTTTTATTTAAAGTTAAACGTTGATCCTCGTATGTTGGTTGATCTTTTTGAATTGCGAAAACCGGACTATATAGTTTTTTTGTTCCGACTTTCGATACGAAAGTAACGGAATATTTGTGCTCGGGGTGGGTTTTTTGTTTCTTCAGACAAATTTCGACTTTTCAACTAGCCATTTTTGACGGAATTTTTTTAATATCATTCGAAAGCTATTGTTGTCCTGAGCTCAAATTTGAAAAGATATTTTTACCTGTGATCATTTTTCGTAAAGTTTTGGGGGGGTTTAAAGATTGCGCGATATATTTCGCGCTGTTAACGCGTAAGCGGAGAGTTAATCCGTCTTAAAATCGTTCCAAATTGGTTGAAAAAGAAGCTTATTTGCCATAATTGATTTGTTACAAGGAGCGAAATCTTTCCTTTTGTACTTTATATGGCGGGTGGGGAATGATTTTCAAAAAAAAATTCAAAATTTAGAAAAAAAAAATTTTCATTTTATTTTTATTACATTTAATTTTTTGATGTTATTACTGCTCCATAAAACCTTAAAAGGCAGTCGGAACATTAAGGGCTTCGTTCTGATACGAGCAGTCTTGTTTAATTTAAAAAATCAATGTTGAAAGAACCACTTCAATGCACTGTTTTTTTTAATTAATCAGATTCTGATAAACAGCATGTAATAGTTTACAGATATCGAAAAAATTTGTAAATAATTTAAGATAGATTTTTCGATATATCATGTGAAGATCTAGTTCTCCGCATTTTGTGAAGATCACTTCTGTGAAAATCATTTTTTTTTCAAAATTTTTGAAGATCGATATTTACCATTACTTTGTGACGATCAATTTTTTTCATTATTCCGTAGAAATCGATTTATTCTTAATTTTGTGAAGATCGGGTATTCTCAATATTTCGTTTCCATGTTCAATTTTTTATATGTTAATACAAGAAACGCTAACCCTCTGTCCGATCGAGGAATCCCTGTTCACCAGAGTACCATTGTGTTTCTTCCTTGACAGCCCTGCATGACTCAATCCAGCACTTGTGCCAGGCAGATTGCTGGCCGAATCTGACTTCTCGCTCCCATCCATATTAGCTGCTCCGCTTTGCAAATTACTACTGCCTTTCACTACTGCTGATCTGGACGCATTCGGTGGCGCTATTTTGGACTCTGATATCTTCAGTTGTAGTGCTTTGTCCAATGCCTGAATCATGTACCAACGATAGTGACGCCTTTTATTGATAAAAATGAAGACTCTGCATCACTATCAGTAAGTCTTCCAAAAAACAGAGCCACCTACAAGATGAGGGGCGCATTTAAAAACCAAGGTCGTTCAAAATTGATACACTAACATTTTTCTTAGAAGCAAAGATCCAGATGTCAAAAAAACAACACATTTACTGACTTTCTGAAATCGATGAGTGGGATTTAAAACCTGGGATTTAAAACTTTTAAAAGTCGACTGACTTCATCATTAATATTTCATCAGAGCTCTTTACATGCATTACAACATGACTTTTAATGCAAATGCCCCAAAACCTTTGCTGTTCATCAATATATCCGATGAATAAATAGAACCTACTTTAACTCAACCTACACTCCTGCCATTATGTGCCAAGTTGGGATTAGTATTCTTGAAACATTCGAATTTTCTATAGATGTACATGCAACTTATACAGTAGAAGCCACATTGAATGCCTGAATTACTGCATCTCTCACTGGCCATTCATGTTCTATAAAAGCTGTTGCAAAAACTAACATTTGCATGCATTATTTAATTTTAAATGGCCTAGTACTCGTGATTCACGATAATGATTCATGTCCAAGTCACGTGCTATGAGTATGCCACTTTAATTTCTATATTTTCAAGCTGATATTTTGCGTGGATATGTTAGCACGCTGTTTCCATGCACACATTGCAAAACAAAAACTGAATGCCATCGGTTGTATATGATCGCACGTCCAATTTTGTCACAGAGCTACATATATGCAGCAATAATTGCAGCAAATTCTAAATCAGTTTGAAATCAATTATCTGTGCAATAACACCTTATAATAAGTGCAACAAACGAACGCAGCAAAAATTAGCATTCGACTGTTTCACTGATTTTTTTGACATGACTAACCGCGTATCGATAAAAAAAATTTCAATTAGAATAATATTCACGGCAAAGCTGGAACGAACTGAGTAAAATAAAACAAAATTTTTCTAAAATAGAAACCTACGAGAACTGGATGAACGCAACTCAAGTAATATAATTGTTTTTTTTTCAGCACAATTAGCACAACTCTCAGGCCTTGTTTCAAGCGCGTAATCCTATTGTAGTACCTAATGTAAACATTCACGCCTCTTAGCTTCGAAGCAGTCTAGTGGCTAAGGTGTCCGCCTCACAGTCTATCGGTCGGTTGTTCGTGGCCCAGTCACGTCGACGTATATGTCTTTGCATATCTTCGGAATTCGGCAATTACTGTGCACGTCGAAAGTGTGAGCATTGCTTTCATAATGCAAAAATCGCAAGTGGGGGGGGGGGAACTCTAAAAAGAGCCATACTTTCTTATTTATTTAGTTTTGTTTACCTCGCAGTGGTCCTTCATGCCTACATCCACCTGGTCTCTGATGACATCTTTCATCAGCACCCACGAGGACGTGAACTCAAGTCTAGAGTAGAGCTGCAGTCTGAACCTCTGTCTGCTACTCCTCGTCAAACAGTACTTGGTGTCATCAAGTGTCATTTTATTGCCTGCCAAAATAATTATTAAATAAAATTATCATGGCGCTCAAGAAGTATTAAAGAGGATATCGAACAACTTTACCAATATAAGAAACTAGAAAAATGATAAGTAAATAGTTATTGTTCCGACTTTCGATACGAAAGTAACGGAATATTTGTGCTCGGGGTGGGGTTTTTTTTCTTCAGACAAATTTCGACTTTTTAACTAGCCATTTTTGACGGAATTTTTAAATATCATTCGAAAGGTATTGTTGTCCTGGGCTCAAATTTGAAAAGATATTTTGAAAAGATTGCCATTTTGGCCAATTTGGGACAATTAACGCGCGATATATTTCGCGCTATTGACGCGTAAGCGGAGAGTTAATCCGTCTTAGAAATCGTTCCAAATTGGTTAAAAGAAGCTTACTTGCCATAAATGGTTTGTTACAAGGAGCGAAATCTATCCTTTTGTTTTTTATATGGCGTGTGGGGGGATGATTTTCATAAAAAATTTCAAATTTTCGAAGAAAAAATTTTCATTTTGTTTTATTTCATTGAATTTTTTAATGTTATTGCTGCTCCATAAACCTTAAAAGGCAGTCGGAACATTCAGGGCTTCGCCCTGATACGAGCAGTCTTGTTTCTTATGTATAAATTAACTAAGTTTTCTGAAAAAGATACTTACTGGTTTGATTTTGAGGATTCGCAGATGTCAATTAGCGTTCTCAAAATAAACACTTAAAATTAGAAGACAATAATAGCTAAAAAAACCGCTGAGTTGCAGGTGACACCCGATCAAAATTTTGGTTCAACTCAAGTATTTGGCAAAAAAAATGCGTGCAGCCTCTGCGAGTGCTTCTTTTCTTGTGTAAGCAAGGTGGTATTTGTTTGCAATTTGTAAGCTAAACCAGCAGAATTTAACTTGACAAACACTAGCATAAACACATCGAAAGTTTACAGTTATTCATATAATGGTTAGAAGCTTCCATATAATGCAGCTTTTACCAGTAGTTACATGTATTAGAAGGTCTCAAACAAGGGCGAGAAAACTACAATTAGCTCTAAAAAGTGAAATTATCAAACTTTAGAGAAGCCTGGAATAAGTGAAAATTTTGCAGTGACGGGTTTGGAGTCTCACGTTCTCGCATCTGAGCCATTGAAAATTTTTTCAAATTAGCTACCAATGATGCAGCTTTAAATGCAAATAAATTGTCAGTGCTATCCAGCAAAAATACCACCAAACTTAAATGAAACTTTGTTAAGTGCTGCGTTGAACCTTGTCATAAGTATCCAAGGAACCTCACGTCCTTCCCTCTGAGCCACGGAGGCTTGACTAAAATTCCCACCAAATGAGTAAATTTTACTTGCGACTCAATGTGAAACAAGTTGAATCGTACTATCACTCTACGCAAAATTCTTACCATATTTGATTCAATGGTCAAAAAATGTGTTAAACTTCACATTGTTCATGGTACATAAAAATACGCTCCGCTCCTATGACATTTTTTCGAAAGTTGGAGCAAAAAAAAGGTTTCAAGGTTTCTTAGAAGATTGTTCAAAATCAAACCGTTAATATTACAAGATGAAATGAACTCAAACTTTTAGCTAAAAATAGGACTCAATATTAAACTACACATTTGAGATACAATGACCAGTAATTGTAGTAACACAGTCAAACAATTGATTGGAATAGTTGGATTAAACTAGCACCAAATTTGTAACTATTTTGCTCAATTAAATAAAACACAATCTATTGACAGAAGACAATGCAAATTTACCCCAGATCTAATTATAATTATACCAATGAATGGATTTGGTTGATTTGATAACTTTTACAGCTACTATTTGTAAATTTTTGTAAAGTTCACAATTCGTCGTCCAGTTTTTGCGGAAACTTTTTTGAGGCAAACATTTCAGTTTTATCACTCTTCAGCGCAGATGTTTCCTTGGTTAAAGGCTCCCCAAAACTATTTAATTTATGCTTCGCTTGTAATTCTGATTGACTGCCAGTATTTTCTTCCTTTAATTCTGATGTTTGAGCGTGTTCGTTCACATTTTTTGCAAATTCGTTCACAACTGAACTTTGCTGGACCATATGGGAAGACATTAACATAGACATGCTGTTCATATTGTTCGTCATCACCTCCAAAACTGCTAAACTATTCTTCATAATTTGTTGGAACTGATTTTGCTGTTGAACCTGCGAGTTCACTATCAAGGCTAAAAGCTGTTGATGCGTGAACGTTTCCTGTTCTTTGCTTTGCTTTGATTGCTCTTTTTGCTGCAGGTGTTCTTGCGAACTTTCGTCCAAACTGGACTCCCTGTGATTGATACTGCTTGATGAAAACTGATTATTAGTTGATGATCTGTCATCAAAATACGTTGATTTTGTTCCACGGAACGAACCCTGAAATTCAAATTGAAAATGAAAAGAACTCAGATCATTAAAACATACATCAAAATAATCTCCTTTTAACATAACCGCCTTGTGAAAATGCGTCTCGTTAAAATATTGAACCAAATTGGTTATCTCTGTTATGATTATACAGTTCCACAAATCAGTAAACAATTGAATTTGTTGAAATTTTTAATGGACTCAAATCAGGTCATTAATTTCACCATTTTATAACGTGACAAAACCAATTGCTGATACTTTAAAAATCCAAACAATCTGATTCTGGGAATTTCCGAGCTGGTGTAAAGCTTTCAACTGTCTAAAAAAAGTAAAACCAGTTAAGCCCTCGCTGTTGGGTCGTCTGCCAAAGATCAAACCAACCTTTCAACATTAAAGCCTAGTTTTTACGAGCTTATTGAAGACAAAAAAGTGCAGAGACCCAAGTCAAAGCTTAAATGGACCAAAAATGAGCGAATTCTATGAAGCAGCCAAAATTAAGACAGCAGTGCTTAAACTTAGCTGTTACTTTAAGTTTGTCACCCAGCTTTTGACTGGTCTATATGGAGCTGGTAAATGATTCGACTGCTATATATGCCACCAGATAAAAGAATCGGCAATCATCAAACCAACAAAAAGGATCATAGTCGCCTGAAAACGGATCTGCAGGTCCCATGAAAATAAAAGTATATTCACATTTCTGTTAAAGCGAACTTCTTGGGTTTTATGGGAACACGACAAAAAGCAGCTCTATAAAATGCCATAATAAAAAAATTACAAATAATCCTCGAATTAGAAAAACTTTGGCTACTTCTAGGATTTGAACCCACGACCTACTGCGATCCAGAGATTATGAACATCACGCACCAATCATGGACGCTTACTTGATAACAAACACAAGCCAGAAATAAAGCAGAGAACAGATGCTATGCATTTTACAATGTTACAGTGAAATTTCCAAACTATTGAACACTTTTAATGAACACTTTTATTTGCGAGTTACGTTAGAAAAAAGAAGGTTCGTAATAATACGCTAAGCTGATCGCAAGTGTACACAAAGAAAATGAACTGAACTTAAAAACCAATCAAAAGTCAAACCACGAAAAAGTATTTTTGAGCCTGAACAAATTTTTTCCTGAGCAAAGTTTTTCTTAAAAACCTTTATTTCTCGAGTAGTTTTATAGTTATAACAAGTGTTAGCTCTTTTCGATTTTCCCCATTTGAATTTCATTTTAAGAAACTAAATTTTACGTTGTCATAATGTAATGAAATTTTGCATGGTGACTAACTATTGTGAACACATTTATACCTTCCTTCGTAACATCACGCATTCAGCCATAATAACACGTAAGATAATTGTAAAAAATGGAAACTTTGAAATTTGGGACGAAAATGGAAAAAAGCCCAAGTGTAAATTTGCATGATATTGCTACGGCTTGTGTTTAGTCGAAGCATGTCTAAGTCGGATTTTTTTCCAAACCCCCCCGCATTGAATTTCAGTTTTGAAAAACTAATTTTACTTGGTCATAATGTGAAGAAATTTTGCACGGTGAACAAATTAGCTATTGTGAACACATTTTTAATTCAGACTCTACTTCGTAACATCACACATTGAACTATAATATTACGTTAAACAAATATGCAAATAGAAAATTTTAAATGTAAGGGTGGGAGTGGGTGGAAAAGAGCCCGATTAGTTAACGCTTGCGAATCGCAAGCGTCAATATATATATATATAAAGTTACGCACTCACCTGTGATGATATGTTTGAGAGCTGATAAATGAGCATAGAATGAGAAATTGAGGCCAAAACGAGCAGCAGAATCACCATCCATTGCACCGACCTCGAACCCCACACGACCTCACCACCCGAAGAAAGACGAGAGAGACGAGATGTCCCTCCTCGGTGGCGTGTTCGAGTCGTTCCTCCGCCTCGGTTCAACTCAGACGAGCTTGAACCGAGACGGTGTTCGTGTTCGTTCAGTCGACTACCCAACACATCTGGCAAGGCTTCATGAATGGACCCGCATCTCTCCTAGTAATAAATAAATATATTCAAAAGCTAGTAAAAAAATAAGAAGATTCTTTAAAAAAAAGTTTTAAGAACCATTCATGGGGAGCGGACGTGAAGTGGTTACGTCTCCGCCTCTCAATCGAAAAATCAGATTTTCGAGGCCCATCATGATCAGCGCTCGTTGCTTGACGGCGAGGCAACTTTACTCAGCCAAGAAAAACAGTTTAAAAAATTGCTTGCAGATCTTGACCAGGTGTACAAAATCGGTTCTCTAAATGAGCTGAACAGCTCGTATGTTGGTCCTTTCATCTTAGGATAAATCGTCCTAATTTTAACAAAATCATACCAAGATACAGCTTTTGAACTGCGAAAACCTTACTGTATCGTTTTTTATTTAAAGTTAAACGTTGATCCTCGTATGTTGGTTGATCTTTTTGAATTGCGAAAACCGGACTATATAGTTTTTTTGTTCCGACTTTCGATACGAAAGTAACGGAATATTTGTGCTCGGGGTGGGTTTTTTGTTTCTTCAGACAAATTTCGACTTTTCAACTAGCCATTTTTGACGGAATTTTTTTAATATCATTCGAAAGCTATTGTTGTCCTGAGCTCAAATTTGAAAAGATATTTTACCTGTGATCATTTTTCGTAAAGTTTTGGGGGGTTTAAAGATTGCGCGATATATTTCGCGCTGTTAACGCGTAAGCGGAGAGTTAATCCGTCTTAAAATCGTTCCAAATTGGTTGAAAAAGAAGCTTATTTGCCATAATTGATTTGTTACAAGGAGCGAAATCTTTCCTTTTGTACTTTATATGGCGGGTGGGGAATGATTTTCAAAAAAAAATTCAAAATTTAGAAAAAAAAAATTTTCATTTTATTTTTATTACATTTAATTTTTTGATGTTATTACTGCTCCATAAAACCTTAAAAGGCAGTCGGAACATTAAGGGCTTCGTTCTGATACGAGCAGTCTTGTTTAATTTAAAAAATCAATGTTGAAAGAACCACTTCAATGCACTGTTTTTTTTAATTAATCAGATTCTGATAAACAGCATGTAATAGTTTACAGATATCGAAAAAATTTGTAAATAATTTAAGATAGATTTTTCGATATATCATGTGAAGATCTAGTTCTCCGCATTTTGTGAAGATCACTTCTGTGAAAATCATTTTTTTTTCAAAATTTTTGAAGATCGATATTTACCATTACTTTGTGACGATCAATTTTTTTCATTATTCCGTAGAAATCGATTTATTCTTAATTTTGTGAAGATCGGGTATTCTCAATATTTCGTTTCCATGTTCAATTTTTTATATGTTAATACAAGAAACGCTAACCCTCTGTCCGATCGAGGAATCCCTGTTCACCAGAGTACCATTGTGTTTCTTCCTTGACAGCCCTGCATGACTCAATCCAGCACTTGTGCCAGGCAGATTGCTGGCCGAATCTGACTTCTCGCTCCCATCCATATTAGCTGCTCCGCTTTGCAAATTACTACTGCCTTTCACTACTGCTGATCTGGACGCATTCGGTGGCGCTATTTTGGACTCTGATATCTTCAGTTGTAGTGCTTTGTCCAATGCCTGAATCATGTACCAACGATAGTGACGCCTTTTATTGATAAAAATGAAGACTCTGCATCACTATCAGTAAGTCTTCCAAAAAACAGAGCCACCTACAAGATGAGGGGCGCATTTAAAAACCAAGGTCGTTCAAAATTGATACACTAACATTTTTCTTAGAAGCAAAGATCCAGATGTCAAAAAAACAACACATTTACTGACTTTCTGAAATCGATGAGTGGGATTTAAAACCTGGGATTTAAAACTTTTAAAAGTCGACTGACTTCATCATTAATATTTCATCAGAGCTCTTTACATGCATTACAACATGACTTTTAATGCAAATGCCCCAAAACCTTTGCTGTTCATCAATATATCCGATGAATAAATAGAACCTACTTTAACTCAACCTACACTCCTGCCATTATGTGCCAAGTTGGGATTAGTATTCTTGAAACATTCGAATTTTCTATAGATGTACATGCAACTTATACAGTAGAAGCCACATTGAATGCCTGAATTACTGCATCTCTCACTGGCCATTCATGTTCTATAAAAGCTGTTGCAAAAACTAACATTTGCATGCATTATTTAATTTTAAATGGCCTAGTACTCGTGATTCACGATAATGATTCATGTCCAAGTCACGTGCTATGAGTATGCCACTTTAATTTCTATATTTTCAAGCTGATATTTTGCGTGGATATGTTAGCACGCTGTTTCCATGCACACATTGCAAAACAAAAACTGAATGCCATCGGTTGTATATGATCGCACGTCCAATTTTGTCACAGAGCTACATATATGCAGCAATAATTGCAGCAAATTCTAAATCAGTTTGAAATCAATTATCTGTGCAATAACACCTTATAATAAGTGCAACAAACGAACGCAGCAAAAATTAGCATTCGACTGTTTCACTGATTTTTTTGACATGACTAACCGCGTATCGATAAAAAAAATTTCAATTAGAATAATATTCACGGCAAAGCTGGAACGAACTGAGTAAAATAAAACAAAATTTTTCTAAAATAGAAACCTACGAGAACTGGATGAACGCAACTCAAGTAATATAATTGTTTTTTTTTTCAGCACAATTAGCACAACTCTCAGGCCTTGTTTCAAGCGCGTAATCCTATTGTAGTACCTAATGTAAACATTCACGCCTCTTAGCTTCGAAGCAGTCTAGTGGCTAAGGTGTCCGCCTCACAGTCTATCGGTCGGTTGTTCGTGGCCCAGTCACGTCGACGTATATGTCTTTGCATATCTTCGGAATTCGGCAATTACTGTGCACGTCGAAAGTGTGAGCATTGCTTTCATAAGGCAAAAATCGCAAGTGGGGGGGGAACTCTAAAAAGAGCCATACTTTCTTATTTATTTAGTTTTGTTTACCTCGCAGTGGTCCTTCATGCCTACATCCACCTGGTCTCTGATGACATCTTTCATCAGCACCCACGAGGACGTGAACTCAAGTCTAGAGTAGAGCTGCAGTCTGAACCTCTGTCTGCTACTCCTCGTCAAACAGTACTTGGTGTGAATCACGAAGTTGTCACTGAACTTGTTGTGGTTTTTCACTGTTGCTCGAGCCCCGTATATCTGCAAAAACAAGAAACAAAACATAACCATGTGAGCAGCAAACTAAACACAGATACTGATACTGCGTGATATATAATGGCAAATACAAAGCGACACAATGGCAAAAACCTGACAACACAGCTCAAAACATAAGACTTCAGAGAAAAGCCATAAATCGAACCCAAGCCTCAGATTTCGAAAAAAACTCATTTAATCACAACAGCGCAGAAACTGTTTTCTCACATGAAAATGAAAACAATCAGTAACGCGCATCAGCAGATATATCTTGTGTTTGGAGCCGAAATAAAATCCGGAAACAAATCTTTGAATCCGACTACTTCCTTCTGCTCTTTGTTTGTGAATTAATTAGAGTAAAAAACACATAAAACTCAGCGTAAATAAAGCCTTTTCCCGAAAAAAATTGCACGACAAATACGTGAAAACTCAACTCGTTCATCATCATTCAAAAATAGCCAACAAGCAGGTCAAACAACGGTTATGAACTCAAGGAAACTAATTAAAATAACTTACTAGTTTTAAGAAACCTAAATGGTTTTTTTTAAATTTGACATTTTAAAACTGCAGCGAAAAAATATCAAGAGCAAAATATGATTGACAATTTTGAATTAAATCAGCCCAATTTGAGAAAACTGGGTCACTTGGTAACTTTTTTTATTCGGCTGGCGAAGTTACTTTCGAAACTGCAGTGCTGATTTTGAGGTTTCGATTAGATAAGAAAAGAAGAGAACAAATGTTACTTTTACCAGAATTGTACCAGAATTATTATGGCGCAATTTATTTTCCAAAAAATCGTAGCCAAAACTTTACCCCAAAAACGGCAATCCTGACGTTTTTAAGTTAACCAAAATAAGTACGCTAAACTACCACTTAAATTGATGAAAAATTCATAATAAGAAGAGCCTCTTACACAGCCGACTTGTTTTTCGAAAACACTGACTTGTTTTTAAAAAATCTCAATTTTCCAAGAAAAAAATAGAGGGCCTTAAATCTCTTTGAATTTCTAGAACAATTTTTGATTGACAATTGTTTGATAAGAATAACCCAATTTGGGAAAACTGGATCAATGGGTTAATTTTTTATTTCGCTAGGGAATCTGAGAATTGGATTCCATTATCAAATTAGAAGTTGACCATGTTTTTAAAACCTTTACATTTTCCCTTTTCGATAGTGGAATTTGCCTTCTTTTCAACAGAGGATATCAACTGAACTAAAAAAAATCATAAGTCAAAACGCGAAAAAGTAAATTGGAGCCTTAACAAATTTTAAGACTTTTCCTAAGAAAAAACCGAAAAAAAAATTGTTACGACCTATATTAGAGTTTGATCTCTGTTCCTCGACTCTTGAAACTGACATCTTATTGGTTCAAGCAAAAATATTTTCTTAAATTCAGATTTTTGGAGATCTAAATCTCAGTCGGGCTGGGCTGTGTAAGGGGCTTCTTTTGTTACAAATTTTTCATCTTTTACCTTGGTAGTTTTACCGTAATTCCTGATTTACTAGAAAATCAGAATAGCCAATTTTGGGGGTAAAATTTTGGCTTTGAATTTAATGCACAATTAAATGCACATTAATAATTCAGGTAAAAATGTGAGCAAATGTTGTTCTCTTCCTTTTTTGTGTAATCCTAACCCAACTAGAGAAATTTTCCAATTAATTATTATTATGAACTTACATAGATACAAAAGTCAAAATGAAGGGATAAAATTCCTTCGTCTACGATTGAAAGGTTTAGACAAGAATCAGTTTCTCTACAGTTTGAACAGAAGCAGGCAAAACGCCAGGTACACGTGAGTTATGACTGGAGTGTAACTCATAGAGTAATTTCGGATAGGGTACACCGTCTGCTCGTCACGCTATCTTATTTTCGGCCGGATAGATTCGTGCAACTTCTTAGTCTAATACCGATCCTAATCTTACTCTTATACTATCTAGTCTCAGGTTGTTTAACTAGTCTCTGCTAGGCTCAATAGATCTAGGGTATACTGGTTTATTGCGGCTGCTGAAGTGCTCGGGAGAGTCCAACTAATTTCTAAGTTAAATTCAAATCTCTCTGGTGCTGAAATTACAAGTAACTTCAGCACTTACAAATAAGTGGGTTGTTAGTTAGATGGATCATGATTGGTTAATATTAAATACTTTACATTGGTAAAACATTTAATTTATCCAATCATAAAATATAGTTTAGATCAGGTTCCACCCATCCGGGTTTTACAGAGTTTTTTAGAACAGTTCTTTTGTAGTTCAAGGATGGATGATGGACGTTGGTATTTGGCGAACATCATTTTTCTTTTGTTTCCTTTTTGTTAAGGAAGTTCCAGGGATCTGGAATTGAGGACACAAGACGTTGTGTTCTTCTTGTGACAACGACTGAGTCTCTGCAACAGCATCAATTCTGGTTTCAGAATGGTTGGCTATGTCAGGTTTTTCTGTTCTTCGGAGAGAACTTCTTTTGTGTTTGATCTAGCTCGGGAATGGCGTGGAGATTGTGCGTGGAGGGGATGCCTGGTTACTCGGATCTGTACGTATACTTGAACATCGAGGTGGTCATTGGTCTAGTTCAATGAAGTCCTTTTCTGCGAGGTCAAGTCGTACTCTAAATCCTTTGAGTTGTGATTGTGAGCGGCATATCGATTATAGTTGGTCATTCTCTCTCGAGTGTAGTGAGGTCGTCTTGTCTTTTGATGTTCGTCCTTGGTGTTGTATTCTGATCTATATATTGCATCATGTGATTTTACATTTTATAAAACTTTTATTAATTTAATATTTTTTAATTATGATTTTAGTTAGTTGTTTTCACAAAAGCTTTTTGTTTTAGTTCGGTTATTTTGAAGAGTTACTCACCCTTGAGTAGCTCTTATTAAAAATAAAGGTGTGGTTACAAAGCGTGGATGTAGCACGGTGGGTTAGGCCGGCTATAGAGCATGCTCAGGACGTCCTTTCCTGGTGGGTTAGGCCAGGTGTGGGAGTATGATTTCATGCGGTTTTTATGAGGGGTCCTGTTATGTGACAACATTTTATGTTGGGTTTGTTGTGGTTTTACTTATGTTTTGTTGGTTATGTACTTTTTCCAAAAAGCAAATTGTTTGTGGTATGGGTTTGTCTTTTGACTTTTTTGTGTTTTATTATTTCTTTCTAAGACTTTGTAATAGTCTTCAAAAGAATAAATTATCCAGTTTTAAACTGGGTTAATCCGGTTTGGGTACCGTTGGTTTCCTTTTCTTAGTCATGCTGTTATTTTATGATTTGTGGTATTTAGTAAGCTGCGTTGGTTAGTTTTGTTTAGTATATGATTCCTTTCCAACCGGGTTAAAGGAAAGTTTGAAACTTGTTACTATTTGTTAGAGTTGTTGAGTGTGAAAACTTGAAACTGAAATTCATTATTTTAAACAATTCTTCGTGGGCGAGCTGTGCGAGTGTGGATAGAATTTCTGTGCGAATGAATGAAAATATCAAAAGGTTAGTACTGCAATTGCATTTTATTAATTTACTGCATAGAATTTGGAAATTTACTGCTAGTAATGGGGGAATTTTAAGATACAAATTTTCATCATATGTAGATTTACTGCTTTTAGGGGAAAATTTTATAAATTAATTTACTGCATTGGTATTATATTTATTTAATTGTTGGTGCAAAAGTTAAATAGGGTTTTAAATAGTTTTGAAGAAGTTTGCTATTTTTTATTTTTCTTTTGTGAATTTTTCAGATGATTGAAGATGAAGGCTAAAAATCTAAAGAAAACATGAATAAGGAATGGTGAGTTTTTCAATATTTTAATTAGTTAGTAATATTCATTTAGTTCATACTTACCTGTTAGTCGTCGGGGAAAAAACCGTGGGGGAAGATATCGTGAATTAGTTCTGAAGTTGTTAGTAGTTTAGCTAAGATGCGGATGATATTTTTAGTTTGAAGTAGTGGCCAAAGCAATTGAAGTGCCTTAATAGTGGTTAGTTCTTCAGTGCCTACTGCAAACTCATAAGGTGTGTTTTGGATTAAGTTATATAACTTGTGGTTAAATTTAGTGTTGTGGATGAATTCTAAAATGGGGATTTCTATAGGCTGTACAAACTCGTGCGGGATAAGGAAGGGTCGGGATTCTTCTGCGTTGAAGGTCTTGGTGATGGGGCAGAAAATATACATTTGGGTTATGGGGTCATAATTACGAAGAATACCATGAAGGTTAGTATTTTTAATACAATATGTGAAATTTAGGAAATACGGTGAAGTGTATTTTGAATTGATGAATTGAAAGCGATGGTGTGGTTGTCTAGAGGGTGTGTGGAGGTCAAAGTGATTTTGGATGAAACGATAGTAGCTGTATGTATGTGTTTGTTTAGTTCGCAACATAATATCGTGTGAGCAGTGTAAATCTCTTTCGTGTGGTGCAAGGAAATGAAAGGTTAGTGAAAAGATTTGGAAGCGTTCTTTAAAACTTTCGTACGCTTGTGTGCTTGTTAGTGCTTCTGAAATAATGTGATCAAACTTTCGGTCGAAGATGTTTAGTGTAAACACATATGGTGTCTTGATGAAAAATTTCTCGGTGATTTGTGGGTTAGCGAAGCGATCGTCGTCTAAGAATTGATCTTGGTTAGCTCTGATGATGTTGTGATCATAGTATTCTAGTGTGTATTCGTTAGCTCTAGGTGCAGTGTGTATTTTTAGTGATTTTTTATATCCAACGTAAGTAAATTGTCTAGCGGTGAGTGGTGTAGTTAGTCGATATAGCATGTCTTTGTTTCGGTCTATATCAATGGATGTGTTAGTTAAAGGTAAGCAAAGAGGGTTAGTGAAATGATAGTATGAGGTCCAAGAGAGAGTGGGCATTAAAACGTATTCGTCTACAAAGTTGCGTGTTTCGTTAGCGTCATGAGGGGTGTTTAAGGTGTATTGTGGAAATGAGGGTAAAGTGATGGCTAAAAATTCTCTAGTGTTAGTATGTTGGGGGTGGTTGATGTATTCTCGGGCTGTTCCTGGTTTTGCTGGGAAAGGATGGTTGGGGAAC